AAGGAAATAGTAGCTAACAACCCTTTATTGGTTTTTTTAATTTTTGTGATTGAAAAGAAGAGAGTTATGCTCTAGTAATGAATAGTGGAATCTAACATTCATCAAAATTCTCTTCTTTAAAATTCCACAAGTATTTTTACCACAATTGTTGCAATCATTGGGCAGTCTATGAAAATCTGTTTTGAACTCTAGTTGCTAGAGATTTCTTTTTTAATTGGTTTTCATATATTTTTCCGAGCCCGAAAGATTTAATATCTTCCACTACTGAACTACTAAAGCACTTTCCTTGTCCTATCTAGGCCATGGGAATCCAATTTGAGGAGGACATAGTTATGGAGATCCTCGCCAGGTTACCCGTGCGCTATCTTTTTCAGTTCACATGCGTTTCGAAATTGTGGAAGGCATCAATCTCTGATCAGTGATAAAAAAAAAGCGAGTGCTTCCTCGCATTAAGCAAGAAGCGAAGCGGAGCAGAAGGTTCAGCGCTTCTGCCATTAAAAGCGATTCTGGTACGAAAAAGCGAACGTTTCTCTGTAAAAAGCGAGAAGTGATGAAGCAAGAAGAAGCGAGAGAAGCAGACACTTTTTTTAATTAAAATAATCCAAGCACTATTTTATTAAAAACTTGGTATTCTGTTTTAGTCTGGACTTCTTGCACTTCTTCGAGATTTCAACAGCAGCAAGAAACTAGGGTTTTTCAAACAACAACAACGATTTCTTTCTCTCTTCTTCATTAACTTCAAACAACAGCAACGATTTCTCTTCTTCAAACTAGGATTGTTGTTCTTCTTCTTCAACAGTACAACAACAACTTTCAACAGATATGTTCTGCACTTTTGATTTTCATTCTTCTTCTTCTTCTTCTTCTTTTTCTTTTTCTTTCTAAACGTCCAAAAAGAGTCGAAATGCTAGCGAATTTTTTTCAGAAAAATTCTGCCCAATTTTTCCAGTTTCTGCCTAATTTTTGCTCAAAATTTCAGCCCAATATTATATTTTAATTCTTTTTTAAAATTTCGCTTCACTTAAAAAAAGCGAGCGCTTCGTTTCTCGCTTCTCGTGAAATGGGGTTGTCGCTTTTCCTCACTTCACGCTTTTCATAACACTGTCTCTGATCCATACTTTAAGAAGAAGCATCTCAATCATGCCAAGAATGACCGAAATTCTCAAAAACTTCTTATTGGCCCAAAGTGCAGTTGTAAGGATCATATTTGTAGCTTCTATTCTTCTTCTTTATCGGCACTTCAAGTTGTTGTGGATGAACAAACACTTCATTGGCCTTCAAACGACAAACCAGTGGTTCCACAATCTACTTTAAGAAGAGCGTGAGGAAAAGCGACAACCCCCATTTCACGAAAAGCGAGAAGCGAGAAGCGAAGTGCTCATTTTTTTTAAGTGAAGCGGAATTTTAAAAAAAAATTAAAATATAATACTGGGCAGAAATTTTGAGCAGAAATTAGGCAGAAACTGGAAAAATTGGGCAGAATTTTTCTGAAAAAAATTCGCTAGCATTTCGGCGCTTTTTGGACGTTTAGAAAGAAAAAGAAAAAGAAGAAGAAGAAGAATGAAAATCAAAAGTACAGAACATACCTGTTGAAAGTTGTTGTTGTACTGTTGAAGAAGAAGAAGAACAACCCTATTTTGAAGAAGAAAAATCGTTGCTGTTATTTGAAGTTAATGAAGAAGAGAGAAAGAAATCGTTGCTGTTGTTTGAAGAACCCTAGTTTCTCGCTGCTGTTGAAATCTCGAAGAAGTGGAAGAAGTCTAGACTAAAACAGAGTACCAAGTTTTTAATAAAATAGTGCTTGGATTATTTTAATTAAAAAAGCGTCCGCTTCTCTCGCTTCTTCTCGCTTCACCTCTTCTCGCTTTTTACAGAGAAGCGATCGCTTTTTCGAACCAGAGTCACTTTTAATGGCAGAAGCGCTGAACCTTCCGCTTCGCTTCGCTTTAGGCGAGAAGCGCTCGCTTTTTTTATCACCGGTACATCACTTTTAAGTTGTGGTAATGAAAGACTATGGTGTCGAGGAATCTTGGACTGAATTGCATACTATACAAGGCTATGACCTTTTTTTTCCAGCCAGTCCGCTTTATATGTTTGCGGAATGCGACTAGTTAATAAAAATGCCTTTGTATACCTTTGCATCTTGCTTGTTATTTGGGGATTTTTATACAAATAGCCGGCCAAAATAATAAAGTATTTATTGGAATTATTATGTTCTTCTAGTATGTAAAATCTTCAAAATGGAAATTAATTAAAGATATAGTATTTTAGAAGCTCTAATGTACACTCGAGACAACAACATGTATTTGCAACATGTACTTGTATGTACAAAGAGTATGTGTGTATAATTGTGTCTTCGTGTTTAGTCTGTATCACGTAGAAATTATATTTTTTTGTTTCTTACCTCTCTTAGTAACCGAAGATGGCTCGCGTATCTAGAGGCGGGTCCAGGATTTAACGACGACGGGTGCCACTATTATTAATACGAACCTACCAATTGAAATAGGGTGTACATTCTGACGGTTCAACCCATTTGAATTAGTTCGGTTCGGTTCGACCCGATCCATTATAAAATAATTCAATCAGTTACTAGTTTTTTAGTACATAAATAAATACGTGATCGCCAAAACAAATGTCCAATTCGATCTAGTTCTCTCAATATAAATTCTATTTATTATGACTAAAAAATATAAATAAAATTTAAGTTAGCAAATACATCTAATCAACCAATATATAACTAGATAGTATTGCGTTTATTGATTCCATTACTTTTAAGAAAATCAAGAAAAATATAGTATTAGATGATTAAAATCACATTCAAATAAAATTTAAAGATTTAGAATGAGAAAAAGGAAGCAAATATATAATTCTAAATAAATAATAATAATAATAATGAGGTTGTACAAAGAAAGAATAAATACAAAAATGAAGAAAATAGAAGGAATTAAAAAAGAAAAGCAACAATAAAAATGAAGAAAATAGAAGGAACTAAAAAGAGGAACAATTGGGATCACAAGCTGAAAAAAACAACAGGTTAGGATTAAGGGGGATCCGATCCTGAGTGTAGCACGTGGAAACTTGGCAGGTGAACCGTGGCACCCGTAGTCATTTTGTTATTTTTGGGTGTCACTCAACACCTATATCATATTTTTCAGTAAAATACCAATACATAAATAAAATTTTACACGAGCGTCCGGGTGTCATACCACCCTAAAGTCTCTACATAAATTCGCCCCTGCGCGTATCGTGAGAGTTGTTTGCTTAGGTAACTCAACCTCAGCTTTGAAGGATGACCCTTCTTTACTGTGAGTGCATTTTTACATTAATTTTGTCACCAACACCATTTACATATAAAGATTGTTGCAGAGACTTTGTTAGTCACTACTAGAAATCTGGTATTTATCGACTAAATTTTTGCGATCAAAGTTGGTCTGTTAAAAATAGCGATCAAAGTTGGTCGGAAAAGGGGAGAAAAATATTTTATATTTATTTTAAATAACTTACTGACCAACGTTAGTCGGTAAACTGGTCAACAAGTTGACCGAGCTGGTCAGACTTACTTGGTCAAAGAAACTTTCATATTACCGATCAACTTTGATCGGTAATATGGGACCAAGTTATAAAGTTTTAATAATTATATTATTATTTAAAATGTTTTATAAAATATAAATAATTCTTATTTAAAATTAGCGACCAAAGTTGGTTGATTAATACAGGAGAAGCATTTAACGACCAACGTTGGTCGCTATTTTATAATTTCTTGAACATAACCGACCAAAGTTGGTCGGTTATTAGGTCAACATTGGTCAAAATTAAAAATCACTTTTATATTTACTATCTAAATAATATAAATGTAATCCGTTAACACTTTTGTAATACAAGGGATGAATACACTAACATATACTCTAACATGCTATATATGTAGTTAAAGTAGTACAACGAAGCGTGTTTTATATATATATATAGATATAGATATAGATATAGGTTAGACGTTTTGTTTTTTAATATTCAACGATACATCTGAGTAGGTTATAAGTCGATGAATCAATTTACACACAGATATATTTGATGATAAATTATATAGGCGGTGATTATACAAAAACTTATTAGAAAGAAAGGGACCATGTTCTTACCTCAGCAATGAACGATATGGTATCAACTACATAAAATTATTTTTGTTGTTTAATACAACGTGGTGTATCTTCAAGCTTAAAGTACATGGGGTATTCAAAACCGTATAAGATGATAAAACCTGTCCCAAATTTCTACAAGTTTTTGTTGGGTTTTTAAGCATTAATAAGCTTAAAATAGGGTGAATGGAAAATGGAGGGAAAAATAAAATATTTGAGTAATATTTGAGCTTCCCTTCTTGATTGTCCCATATGGGAAAAGGAAAAGGTTTTTGATGGGTATATAAGCAATTGTTCTTCTTCTAGCTATTAAAGAGTTGAGAAGAAAGCAAGCCTCGCGCCGTCACTTGCTCGGTAATTTGTACCATTGCACCAACGTGTAATTCGTTCTATACTGGGAGGAAATAATCCATAACCTTATTCTGAAGAGTGAAGATTTGAGCCCAACTTTGGCTATAAATACAAGTTCATTCTCTCAGATTTTCCATACGAATTTTCCGAGTTCTCCATACGGGTACTAGGAGGGGATTAAATTCCTTAAGGAAACACTGTGAATTCAATGAGCTCGAATTGATTTTTATTTCGTTTACATTTCTATGTTAATATTATTTTCTATTATCTCCAGAATTATTTTACAAATACAGATTGATAACAGTTTCATTGATTAATAAATTAAAAAACAAGCATTTCTCAAAGTTATGAGTTTCCACTAAAAATCCAGTCACACGATGTGAGTTACTATTGAACGCAGCAAATTCATATATGCTCATTGGTTATCCACTGAGCTTCAGCAACTACAGGGTTAGAGTTGCTGTCCAATCATTTGCAATGTCTATGCTAACAAAGTTGCATCACATTTGATGTTACCAGTACACTCACTGCTTTCAAAGGAGAGCTGGGTGACTATTATTGCATGGCAGCCAAAGCTGCTGGGAAGCAATGTCCTGACTATAAGCTGGTTAATGAAGGTTTTAAGCTCGCTGACGGACCTGTGCTATACCGAGAGGGGTCACCGGCACTCGTAAAGTTCGGCAAATACTCCATGTAGAGGGCCGCGGTAGCTGCCGAATCTTCTACTGGTACATGGACAACTGTATGGACCGATGGACTTACCAACCTTGATCGTTATAAAGGGCGATGCTACCGCATCGAGCATGTTGTTGGAGAAAAAGATCAATATATTGCTTATGTAGCTTACCCTTTAGACCTTTTTGAAGAAGGTTCTGTTACCAACATGTTTGTATATGTCTTTAGAAAATAGTGATATATTTATAATGGACACCCTATATACAAAGCAGATTTTGGTTGAATTCAAAAGTGCACCCTCGACCTTCAAATCCTGGGTCCGCCTCTAAGCTCGCACATACAGAAATGGCACAGAAGCACCCATGTTTTGGATTTGCTGAAAAGATTCCTAACATTGTGTGGTGGAAAACTTGTGTCAGGGATTCCTTTGTTAAGGTATTGTACAAAACATTATCAAGCTTTTCAGTATTCTATACCTTATTTTGGAAACTACATATCCATTCTGAAAATACAGTAGCCTTTGACTATTCCAAAATTGTGGTTTGATATCTAAATGTTAGAAGTTGGTTTATTTAGTACTGACATTTAGTATCTTTTTTACAGGCAGGGATATGAGTATGATGAGGAGACATTTGAGAAGATATTTAGATGCATATATGCTACTTTTGTTCCTTCTGCACCTTATAGCATATTTCCTGATTCCAAACCATTTCTCGGAGAGGGGCATCACAATTGGGCTGGTCAGCAATGCCGAGTATCGGTATCAGGACGTAATTCTTGCTGCTTTAGGCTTGCATCAGGTAGATAAACAATAGTTCTGATTTCATTTTGCAACATTGAATCTTCTTCTAACCATTTTTGGCTGAACTGTTAATCTTTTTCCACAAACACTGACCATCACAAAGTAGTTGTGACCCTCTTTTTTGTGTCTGAAACTAAAATCAGGGATCTGAGTGGGACTTTGGGCGTATTCTCCGGTCTTGAAGGTGTTGAAAAACCCGATCCAAGGTTATTTGAGATTGCCTTGAAGAGGGCAAGAAATGTAGCACCGGAAGAAGTACTTCATATTGGAGATAGCATGAGGAAAGACTACTTGCCCGCGAGAAGTGTTGGGATGCATGCTTTGTTGTTGGACAGATTCAGAACTGCAAATCTTCATGCACCAAAAGATATAAGCTTAAAGAGATATTTCACAGTCCTGCATTGAAATTTTCAGCAATTATGTCATATATGTCATTAATTCAGTGACAAGCATTTATCACATAAAGAATACCAGCCATTGACACTTTTTGACTATGCAATTCCCAAATATATGCTAACTCCTGCTAATAACGCATCCATTTCCGAAAGTAATCTTATTAGGACACAAGTTGACTTCAGGTAGTCCTCAAACACAACAGTAAAACTAGATCTAGAGGAATCCACAGAGGAGGGTTCAATTAACCCAAATAAACATCAAAATAGATACCAGTTGTTTCTCAAATGAATTTCATCAGCAAGTAGAGTTCTGCTGTTAAGATGTTCTCATGACCCCTATTCAAGGATTGTAATCGAAAGGAATATAATTCCAATATTCCCTACGCTTATTATTAAGTCCATATTGTAGTGAGTGAGAAGAGCTCTCCTGAGGGGAAAATTCATTGTGAAAGTGAGATCACTCATCAAATATCAGAGTATAAGGCCATGACAAGTACAATATAAGAAACCCAAAACTCTTCAACACATACAAAAAAAGGAGCCTACCAACTGGATCAGGAGAACGACAAAGCTGATCTTGCTACTCTAAGAAGTTAATGCTACACAAACTCTACAACTTCAAGGAAATGATATAATAACTTGTGTAAGCTAGGACAGGAGGTCGCTATTCCACACAAATTAATATGAGGAAATCTTTTAGGAGCTGGTGCCTACAGCTCAGCGAAGTAAACCTAACAAATACTTGAAGGACGGAGACATCCTATAAGTGTTTAGAACGACAACGGACGCCACATCAATCCAGCATCTTTTGTTTGGTGATCATCTTAATTCTGCATGTATAGATGATGTTACTTGTAACCTTATCATAACAGCCATCTTTAAGAGAACCAAGGGAGGCAGTGACAATATGTCAAGACATTAAATAAGATGGCGAAGAAATCTACCATATAATAGGAATTGTCTTCATGCCGAACTTTAAACAACTTTTTAAGCTATGTTACATGGACTTTTCAATTGCCTTGGCATACCTAGATTGAACAATTGATATCAGTCCATCCAAATCCTTCCAAATACAGTAAAATTTGCTAAGTTGGACCGCCAAAAGGGATACACATACTGACACCTTACCAAATATATCCATACCTGAATCCAGGAACATAGGACTGAACACTTTCATTTATACACATACAAGTAAAGACGAATATCGCCTAAAAGGGCAGGAAAGACGAAATAATCCAGGACGGTCGCAACCTTATCTCAAATTCATGAGCTCACCTGGACATGGTATGAGCAGAAGGAACCAATAAATCAATTGTAGGTTGATCCAAGATCCAAATGTTAACCTTATGCCTAGAATCCAAGAACCTGCTAACTTCAGTATAATCTCAGTTTTCTTATAAGATTGCACATTACTCGGGAAATAAATGCCAGAAAATAATCTTCTGATTAAATAATAGTCTGACCTGAAAATCGATCAGTCGACTTAGAAGAAGTTGCAAAAATGCTTAACGACCTAGGAAGAATTAATCCTTAAATATGTTCCTTCAGATTATAAATACCATAAACGATTAACCTCTGTTCTACCACTTCTTGGTTTTTCCTAAATACCAAGGGGCAAAATCTGATCTGATGCCTTCCACAACTAATCATGCGGACAATTATTTCAGACATATTTATATAAAATAACAAGCATATCAACTTTGACAGTGATATTAGAAGATATTAAAAAACAAAACATCTCTATTGATGTGCCAGACTGCCAATAAACAATTACTCTTCATCACAACCTACTCAAATACAGATAAACTCACAAAAAGTTTGCACCTTTATCATATTTAAACCTGTAAGGTTTCAGGTTTATAAATCCTGCAGCTCAGTGAAAACCAAGCCAAACATCTCCATACCATAGGTCAGTTTTACCTATAAAATTTAAGCATTAACGCTATTCACCATTTCCTCAATTCCAAACTACTAGGGATCAGCAGAATGTTACATCAATTCAGCACAAAAGACAAGTAAACCTTTCGTGTCAAAAACAAACTCATTAACCAGTAGCATAATGACTATTTATAAACCACACGTAAGAGCATGAACACCTCATCATTAGGACTAAATCCTAATCCACACCGGTTCAATTCAAATTTCTGAAACATCACAAGTCCACTTAACAAAAAATATAATAAGATGATCTTCATTTTCCTCTTCTTTTCTGTAAGGTGGGTTCATTCAAAATGTGGTAACATTAAGAAAAAGTAAAAGCAAGAATTTTAAAGTTCAACCAATCTACCTCACCAAATTAACTCATAAAGAACCTAACATTTCCAAGGAGAAATTTTTCAAGTTCAAGAACACATAACAGCTACAAAATCACAAGAAATGCATGCTTCCGAATCCAACTATATCTTCATGTTAACAAACCCATAACTTTTTAGACGAAAAGATCAAATTTTTACACAAGAAATGAGACAAACGATGGATTTGAAGCATACCCAGAAGCTCAAATGGATGAGAAAGAGAATGGCTTCAATAAAATTGCTATCTTTTCCAAGTAAAGTAAGATTCTTGAAGCAGTATATGTATATTCAATTCGTTACTTTGACAAAATATTTGCACCAAAGTCCTTTAGGTTTGTTCATTCTACATTTCGGACCTTGTAATAATTATTTTCTTTGGGCCTATGTATATTTCTGAACCAATTATGTTATGGCCCATACTATCAGCCCAAAATTTGGATATGGCCCATTAATTCCTCCACACCATTTCACCAGCAAGCTCTTACCCAAAAACCCTAAACCCTCTGGTTCTATAATCTATATCCTTCCAGCTTCAATCATCAGCCACCCCCTATATAATATTCTCATTTCTCACTCTGTTAAAACCCTAGACAGTGTGACTTCTTAAACCCTACCTGAACCCCCTCCCCCCAACCCCCCACAAAACGAAAAGCCGCCATGACTGACGTCGAGCTCTCTCGCTCAGAGAAGAAGAAGAAAATCAAATCACCCAAAAATGAAGACAAAACCCAAACACTCTCCACTCAAACTGACAAAAAATCTGATCTTGATGTCGATTTTCTCATCAAACCACAAAGCTACACCCCCACCATTGACACTTCACAGTGGCCCATTCTCTTGAAAAACTACGACCGTCTCAATGTACGAACTGGTCACTACACTCCTCTACCGTCTGGGTTTTCGCCACTCAAGCGTCCACTCGCTGAATACATAAGGTACGGTATTCTCAATCTTGATAAACCTGCTAACCCATCTTCACATGAAGTTGTAGCTTGGATTAAACGGATTCTCCGGGTTGAGAAAACGGGTCACAGTGGAACTCTTGATCCTAAAGTTACTGGTAATTTGATTGTTTGCATTGATAGAGCGACCCGTTTGGTTAAATCCCAACAGGGTGCTGGAAAAGAGTATGTTTGTGTTGCTAGGTTACATGCTGATGTTCCTGATGTAGCTAAGGTTGCTAGAGCACTTGAAGCTCTTACTGGGGCTGTTTTTCAAAGACCACCTTTGATTTCTGCTGTGAAAAGACAACTTAGGATTAGGACTATTTATGAGAGTAAGTTGCTTGAGTATGATGCTGATAGGCATTTGGTTGTGTTTTGGATATCCTGTGAGGCGGGTACGTATGTTCGGACACTTTGTGTGCATCTTGGATTGTTGTTGGGTGTGGGTGGACATATGCAGGAGTTGAGGAGAGTGAGGTCTGGGATTTTGGGCGAGAAGAATAATATGGTGACGATGCATGATGTGATGGATGCACAATGGATGTATGATAACTATAGGGATGAGACTTACTTGAGGAGGGTAATTATGCCTTTGGAGGTGGTTTTGACTAGTTATAAGAGGTTGGTGGTCAAGGATTCAGCGGTGAATGCTATTTGTTACGGTGCTAAGTTGATGATTCCCGGGCTTTTGAGGTTTGAGAATGATATCGAGGTTGGGGAGGAGGTTGTGCTGATGACTACTAAAGGAGAGGCCATCGCATTGGGGATTGCAGAAATGACCACTGCTGTTATGGCCACTTGTGATCATGGTGTGGTTGCTAAGATTAAGAGAGTGGTGATGGACAGGGATACTTATCCTAGGAAATGGGGCTTAGGGCCAAGAGCTTCGATGAAGAAAAAGTTGGTTGCTGAGGGGAAGTTGGATAAACATGGAAAGCCAAATGAGAAAACTCCAGCTGAATGGTTGAGGAATGTTGTTTTGCCTACAGGAGGGGACGCTATGGTTGCTGGTCTCGCTGCTGCTAATGTGAAAACTGATCCTGATGCGGTGCCTGCTGATGGTGCAGTTGGTGATGTTGAGAAGAAAAAGAAGAAGAAACATAAGGAAGATGAGGAGGAGGGTAACAAGAGAAAATTTGATGACTTAGATGCATCCCCTGCACCCAGTGCTTTAAAGAAACCAAAGGTAGAGATAGTCGAGGAGAAGAAGGCTGGAGATGAAGCTGTGGAGGTTGAAGTCACAAAGAAAGAAAAGAAGAAAAAGAAGAAAGAAGCTGATGAAGCTGCAACCCCTGATGTAGAGACGGCAAAAAAGGAAAAGAAAAAGAAGGCTAAAGAGAAAGATGTTGCTGCATCTTCAGATGAGGAGAAGTCTGAGAAAAAGAAGAAAAAGAAGAAGAAAGATAAAGATGCGGACAATGGTGATGTAGCTGTTGGGAGTGATGGCGATGAAGGAAGTAAAAGCAAGAAGAAGGAGAAGAAGAAAAAGAAGAATAAAGATGCACAAGATGAGTAGAGGAGAAGGTCTTGGCCCCCTTGACCAATCAATGCTCATATGTTTGTGTTAATGTCACTCCCTTATTTTCTTTGTGTTAATGGTTGTTTAGTTATCAATAGTCATAGAAGGTATTAATCGTACTATATCTGCACCTCATTCAGTCGTTTAACTTGGTATTATTCTTCGTCTTCTTATCTTTCCTTTATGAACTAGTATCTTGTTAAACCAGCAGCAAGAGGGGGAGATACTTCTCTTCTTTTTGAAACTCAACAAG